GGCGCTACTTTTCATTCCCCAGAGAGCAAAATGTGCCAGGCAACGACCGCACGCTCCGGTACACTTTGACAAAATCAAAACAAACCAAGCCTGGTGTCGACGCTCTTGATCACATGCTGAACGAAAATCCAGGCACCGGCGCCAACCAAGAGCTAGACGTTGCTCACAAAGTCCTTCGAGAGAATTTCAATGGAAGGAGACACGATTTCCACGTCGGCGCAATACTTGTAGATCTCTGTCTGGCGTTCTGTGTATGCGTTTCGGCATGGGAAAGCCTAGGCTGATGGGTGATTTGATCGTGGAGGCCCTCCGAGAAATTGACCGGTACAACGGACTTAACGTCCATCAGGGTAATAACTACGAGGGATCGCACATGTCGAGACTCTGGAATTGGATGATAACAATGAGTGATCACGCGACAACAATGGCTCTTCCTTTGTTGAACGAGAACTCAGTCAACACCGTGGAGATGGTGAACAGAGGCTACAACTCAGGGAACAAGCAAGAAAAAAAATAGATAATTTCGCACCACTCCTAGGACCGCCCGAAAACACGGTGCATCAAGTCGCAAGAAGAGTGAGGCTCCGAAACAATCAAATGCAATACTTGGAAACACCCCCCGAGATATACACCGGGCATGTCGTCGCCCCCGGCGTGGTCGCTGAGCGCCGTACGGCGATCAGAGACGCCGAGGTGAAGTTGTTGAGGTTGATGTTTCCTCCGGCGATAATAGAAAGTTTCGGAACAAAAGTTATTCATGAGAAGCCAACTTCTCGATTTAGGTGGAACGAACGTTCTCGGAATTTTACTTTGTGGAGACCACGGAGTTGAACGCGACAAGAAACACGCCGGCGCGGAAAGGCTGCAGAAAAAAAAACAGGACAGCAGCCGTGCTGCATCGAAACATCACATCACACATCTTCGGCAGGCGCGGCGGTGTGCAGGATGATAAGGATGACACAGGCCACGCATGCATATAGTTGAGGGGCTGCACCACTCGTCAGTGCCATCTGTGAGGTGGAGGGTGTTCGAGGAGCCTCACTTCTCTTTTTTGTTGCGGCGTGCGAACGAAAGACAGAGCCTTTTCCACGAGAAGAGAGCAGCGAGAGAGAGAGGGAGCATCCTCAGCAGCAAACAAGAAGAGAGGAGACGCACACACACCGTTTATATATAATAGTAGAGCACATCGCCTAGTCGTGTCTGTCTATATACTGCTGTGGACAAATTTAACCTTCCTCGTTTCCTCCTGTTGTTGCTTCTCTCGCCCAGCAACAACCCAGCAGCAGCAACAACAAAACAGACATATGATCAACACAGCACGCACCCACGCACGCACGCCGAGCAACCAACCCCCGCATAAGTGTAGGTGTGGCCTTCCTGACGGCGATGGAGTCCATAACAGCACCTTCCGTGGTGCCTGGAGTTCCAGGCTTTCCCTCCACTACTTCTACATACTGCTGTCGTGTTTGTTGTTGTTGTTGTTGTTGTTGTTTCTCACATTAGCTCTAAAAAAAGAAAGATTGGGAGCCCGTGGTCTCAAAACCCGGCATACACGACCCCACGAAGAAACAGAAAAAAATACTCCCTCTGTCCGAGAATATAAGCAAGGTTTGGACAAAAAGCAATAGAACTCGTGTCTGCCGAACTCTTTTTCCGAACGGTTTTTTTTTCTGGTTCCGCCGCACTGGCGCGCAGCGCGCAGAACCGCTGCTCTTTTCACACCACCTCAACAAAGTGTGTTGCACCCCAGCACAACACGCCCGATTTCACCACCCCAACTTTGGAGCCCCGGTCAAACGCCTTCCCGTCTGCTGGCGGGACATGTCTGCTGCTGGGAGTGCCTCCCAGGGGCTCAAACGCAAGAATTTCAACGTTTCGGAGAGAGAAGAGGTGGTACGCTACCTTCTCGCCGACAGCGAAGACGGGGTTCGGC